GATAAAGTAGAATTAAAATAGAATAGAAACTGCTAGAGTTAGAGGATCAAATAAAGATGGAAGATATGTGTTTTTAGTAATTTCTTGAAGATGGCTAAGGACTGCTCGGATTGATTTGGGCAGGTCATTCCACCAGGAGGGAACAGTTAATGAAAAAGTATGTGAAAATGATTTTGTGCCTCTTTGGAATGGCACATTAATGCGTCGCTCACTTGCAGAACGCAAGCTTCTAGAGGGCACATAACACTGACGTAATGAATTTAAGTAAAGGGGTGCAGAGCCAGTGGTGGTTTTGTAGGCAAACATGAATGCCTTGAATTTTATGCGAAAATACTGAAAAAAAAAGATCTTATTGTCTCTCTTATTCTTTTCTAAATTTTCACTTCTGCTCAAGCTTCTGTATTACTTTAGTTTATTCTCAAAACATGCTGTTATACTGTGAGTATTGTTGATTCATAAATTTGTGCTCTTTAAAAACTGAACATGTGATACATGTTATTCAGGTTCTGGTTCCCAGGTGAGCCAAATGACGAGCATAGTCATGAGGACTGTATTGAAATGATTCCTTCAAATCTGATCCTGAACAACTGGAATGATCTGCCATGTTCAGAGAAGAGAAAAGGTGTTTGTGAGAAATAGGGTTCATCTCATCTTGTCATGGTTTTGCTTCTATATATAATATAATCATTATTATTGTGAATGCATGCACTCTTAAAAATAAAGGCGCTTAATAGGTTCTTCACAGCGATGCCATAGAAGAACCATTTTTGGTTCCACAAAGAACCATTCAGTCAAAGGTTCTTTAAAGAACCATCTCTTTCTTACCTTTTTATAATCTGAAGAATCTTCTTTTGCCACAAAGAACCTTTTGTCAAACAGAAAGGTTCTTCAGATGTTAAAGGTTCTTTATGGAACCATTTAGGTAAAAAAAGGTTATTCTATTGCATCGTGAAGCACCTTTATTTTTAAGAGTGTATTTTTTGATTGAGGTCCATGTCTTTAAATAAACTGTCAATTATGATTTTTTTAGAAAGAAAATGTGAAATTGTCATAATTTTCTTAATGCTTTAATAATATTCTGTATTTCATGGCGTGTATCAGGGCGATCTGAGACACCAAACCTCTGATGTGTTCATGTTTTGCTCCAAAACAAGCAGCTCTGTATTAATATGATCTTATTCTAACTGTTATCATGTTGCTCATTTGTTGCTCTGAAGTGTTGAGGAGACAATCACAGTAAAAGTCTATTGAGTGTATATTGTGTCTGTAAAACTGCTTTTGAGTTGAATTGCTTTCTGTTTGAATAAAATGTTCAATTACTGTCATTACCATATTAAACTTGCCATTTTTGTTGTCATTTCATACAATATTCTTGAGTATCTGGTTTATGACTCCATGGCAGGGGCGTCCAAACTTTTCTTTTTAAAGGGGGCCAGGTTCGACAATGTGGACAGTCCGGTGGTGGATGCTTATTCTTGACCTTTAGTGAACTGATGCACACTGATCACTAATAAAGAAAAACTGTATACAGATCAGCAGGAAAGCCCCTATTGGATTTTACCTTTGACACTGCGGTTATGTCACAGATCAAGCTGGAGCCAACAGGTTAGTTAAGGATAAACAGGTTTATTGACAGGAATTCCAGTGGTAGAATGACTGAAACAATGAATGGGGAGTATCCAACTCAATAGATAGTTATGTGAGTCTTAGCTTGGTTAAGCAGATGGTTTTCCTTTTGTAGGTTTGTGGAGAGTATGGGATCCAGGAATGAAGGAGATCGATGAAGGAGGAACCTCGGGAATATAAGGGTAAGTAGACAGGTCAATAGCATAGAGAGAGTCTGGTAAGTTCAGTGTAGTGAACGGTAGACTGGACAGTGAGTGACTGGAAGGAGCATGCTTTTGAATGTTGGCTTGATTGCAGATGACAGGTGCGGGGAATTAGAACTCAGGTGAATGTAATCTGTTGTAATTAGTGGCAGGTGATTGTGGAGACTCGCTGACATTACCCCCTCCTCCAGGGGCGGCTCTTGATGCCCTCAAGCGGCGACGGGGGTGACCACAGCCTCTTTGAGGAGTTGGTGCTGGCATGAGAGTGGTGTGAAGTGCATTGACCAGCTCCTCAAGGACATCCGCGGGAGTGGGTGGTCGGGGATCCATGGAGGTATCTGTTACGGTCCGGTCTTCTGTCACAGATCAAGCCAGAGACAACAGGTTAGTTAAGGATAAACAGGTTTATTGACAGGAATTGCAGAGGTAGAATGACTGAAGCAATGAATGGTGCGTATCCAACTCAATAGACAGTTATGTGAGTCTTAGCTTGGTTAAGCAGATGGTTTTCCTTTTGTAGATTTGTGGAGAGTATGGGATCCAGGAACGAAGGAGATCGATGGAGGAACCTCGGGAATCTAAGGGTAAGCAAACACAAGTCAATAGCATAGAGCGAGTCTGGTAAGTTCAGTGTAGTGAACGGTAGACCGGACAGTGTGTGACTGGAAGGAGCGTGCTTATGAATGTTGGCTTGATTGCAGATGACCGGTGCGGGGAATTAGAACTCAGGTGAACGTGATCTGGTGTAAGCAGTGGCAGGTGATTGTTACAGTTACAGAGAGGCGTTGAATCTTTGACTCAGAAGAAACTGTAGTTAGAAAGCAGAGTCACGTCTCTCAGTGATGAACTAAGCAAAAAAGCATCTAAACGATGTTAGTACAAATCTGTTTTTCTTCGCTGTCTTTTATGCACACAGTTTTAAAAGATGAGTTTGTCTGTGTGGTCCAGATTTTTTTTCCACTTCCACTGAAGCGAAGAGCTGGTCTGACAGCAGGCAGTACCACAGGGATCATGGTGGTGATCTGGTCATTATCAACACTGAAGAGTAGCAGGTGAGTTCAGTGGCAATCATTCAATTCATTGCCTCTGATCTTGTGACTTTGACCTGTATTACTCTTTTGACCCTCACTTTCGCACCACACATCAGGTCTTTTATTATGAGATTGCAGCAACCTATCATTTCAGGAAGCACTGCCTCTGTGCGTGTTAAAGGAGAGGTGATGGAATCAACCTTTTTTTTTTTTTTTTTTACACAGAGACATATACCTTCATTCATTAAAGAAAGTGTGTGGATTGGTTTGTCTGACTCGGAGAATGAGGGCAACATGAAATGGGTAGATAATTCTCCACTGAATCAAGGGTAAGACAAAGAAAACCACATGTTCTTTGGGCATTTGTTTGTAGGTGCATCTTTCTTCTCATATCTGCTTCCTGAGTACTTTTATTTTTAGCTGTACAGGAACTGAATCTGACTTTTTTTTTAAGGCTTTGGAGCCCAGGTGAGCTGAACAGCTTTCAGGGTACAAATGAGGACTGTACTGAACCGCTTCCTACAAGAGACAGCGTGAACAATTGGAATGATCTGCCATGCTCATTGATGAAAAAATGGGTTTGCGGGATTTAGCATCCATCTGTTTCTTCACCTTTGTTTTTGTTTAGCTTTTTTTGTGATTGCATTTTTGGTGAAGATTGTTTAAAGGAAAACTCATTTATTAACCGGTTTTATGTTTTATATATATATATATATATATATAGTATTATTTTTTTTTATTTCATGTGCCTTCCAATATCAAGAGTGTAAGATAAAATCTAAGATATATCTAAGATAAAACATGTTAGAAGAAAAAAGTTGTTTTCCTCCTCCAGAAATAAATACATGAAAACATCCTGAGAAGCATCCTGTTTCTTTTACTCTGTGTCTGTGCTGTAGATTAACTAGATAAAGTTTTTTTATTTTATATATATATATATTCTGTAATTTAAAACACGAGTGGAGGAGAAATGTACAATTTTACTTTTTTATTTATCTATTGCTTTAAAAAACTCACAACACTCATATTCATATCCTATATATCTTGAGACTGTATTTTTTATTTCTCTCAATTTAAGAGAAGAGTTTTGCTGAGAAATTTCTTACAAATGATGGCAATGAAGAGCATTTATTACTATAATATTACAAAATGGCAAAGGCACTAGATGGCGCTAAAAATCATTCTCACACTGTATATTAATATGCAGTGGACAGTTTATCATGTGTTCATGTTTAGCTCCATCACAAGCAGCTCTTTTAATATGACGTTATTCTAGCTGTTAGATATATTTATCATGTCTGTGAGGCATGTATTTGCTGAGTTTTGGTTCATTTTTGTGAAGTGCGCCTGTTCAAAATGAGACTGCAGAAAGCGCATCATGTTTGTTTTCTTTATTTATCTATGATTTTATGAAAGCACAAAGTTTTGTTGATATTGTGAGTGCACACAAATAAAAGTAGACCATTTACAGTTACGAATGATGTATTACTCTTACCTTTATGAGTAAAAATGAGACGTATCCACTTAAAAAAATGCAAGTGATCGCGCTGGCGCCTCCATGTCCTGCAAAGCGCGCTTCAGCTTCCACTCTCCGCAAACTATTAGATATAGTGCACATTTATCTAGGTTTAACGTTTAAACATTGTTATATGCCGCTGGCCGCTTGGTCGTTACTTTAAAAACAAAAACTTATATTCAACGAACAAAAAATGCTCCAAACGTTTTTCAAAATTAATGTAATAAAAAAACAAAACAAAATATAATCACTTTGCCATTACATACAAAACTGAAATATTTTAATAGCTGAAACAGTAGTATACTGTAGGCTGTTTTGGGAGAAGCTGTCAGACACGGGCCGGGCTAGGGCCTGAGCATCTCAAAAACCCTAGTCTGAAAAAGTTTGGATATTTGTCCTTCCGTAGCCTACTTCATCTTTAACTTTCTCAAGAGTGATCGCACATTTCACAAGATCCATTTCAGCTGTCACAAGCTGAGGGTGAAGCTTATGCCGAGTTCACACTGCACGATTTTAGCCCGATTTTTCACTCGCCGACAGGTTTTGTGAAATCGCCGACAAATGCCCGACATCGGAGGCAAATCGGTGCTCGTTCACGCGAGTGACAATCACACAGTGTGAATTATCAAAGATGCGATCTGAGAGAATCGCAGACACGTCGCCGACGTCCGCAAAATATTTGGCATGCTATATATCTGTAGCTGTCGGCGATTCACAATCACGCTGTGTGAAATGAGTTCTGACTGAAAACTACATCGGCGATGACCTACAGCCAATGAGAGACCAAGATACAGGGCCGAGGGAAGTTCGGGGAGGAGTTATAGACCAGAATATCAGTATTTTACAGAGGTGGGACTTTCAAGTCACAAGCAAGTATTCAAGTCAAATCCCAAGTCCTCAAAGAGTTAAAGTTAATGAGATAATTAAGTGACTAATTAAATGATGATTGTGAATTAGTGATGAACAGCTGCTGTTAACAATCAAATCATTGAAGAAAAGAGAAACACAAGAACTACATCTGACTTCAGCCACAGCCTTAGATGAAGTCAACTGACTGTCGCCGATCCATCGTGCAGTGTGAACACAACAGCAACTGAATGCTACCCCAGATAGTCACAACGGCGATCCGACGAGTTTGAACATCGTGCAGTGTGAACTCGGCATTACCCAGTCAACACGTAAGATCATGCGATGATCACAGTGACATCACATCATTCTCATAGTGTGATACTCACAGTGTGAGTAATATGCAGAGGTGGGACTTTCAAGTCACAAGCAAGTCTTCAAGTCATATCAAGAGTCCTCAAAGAGTTGAAATTACTGAGATAATTAAGTGACTAATTAAATGATGATGTGCATTAGTGATGAAAACCGGCTGTTAACAATCAATATCATTGAAGAAAAGAGAAACACAAGAACTACGTCTGACTTCAGCCACAGCCTTGGAGGAAATCAACTGAAAAAAAACCAAAACACGATGCCACCATAATTGTGGTCAAGGTTTGCTTTAGTTGGGCTCATGACTCTTATACTAATATACTCATACCTATTTAAAACATTTGTGCATTGCTGAATCAAACCTTGAAGCAGCAGATTAACTTACACTTGCTGCTTATAACTCATGATGAACTAACATACAGAAAATGGTCTCTCTTTGGTTTGTTGTCTGACATTCAGCTATTTCAGAACTGCAAAAAAAAAAAAGAAACAATTAATTAAAATCCTATTAAATAAATTCCACCTCAATGATTCAATGTTGGAGAATAAATAAGATATTGACTCAGGCTTTTATACATGAACAATTATCATACAATCCTCAACAGTGGTGACAATAATTTGTCATATTGCAGTGCATGATGGGAGTTTTTACTATATTGTTACCCAGCATGCATTGCAGCATGAAGCATTTTGTTGATCGTCACCATTGTTGAGATTCATAAGCTGGTTCTTGATGTCTGTGTGTGTCTAAATAGAGTTAGCGTTCATGTTATTATGTGCATTACGTAGATTTCTGCTCCAACTCCTGATGAATATTTCATTTACAAGCAGCTAATATTTCCTCATGGTAGAACATTGGTATATCTGCTTCATCACACCTTATGCATTGTTACAAAGAGAGATCTAACAGCGGGTCAAGAGCCCCATTAAGGCTGGTTGCACACTAATCAATTTTAAGGCAGATTTTAAGCCCGGTTTGCATCCCCGAACGATCGAGGGGTAAGGCCCGATTCAAGGCTGGTTAAAAACGATTTTTTTTTGTCCATAAAATCCTCTATTGTGTGGTATCATTATGATTATTTATCTGCTCCCGATCGAGACAGAGCGAGATACCCGCGATAGCCAATGAGAGCGAGCAAGCGTCACCTACCGGATGTTGCGTGCATCTATAGCTGAAACTTGGCAGCCATATAGATATATTTATCATGTCTGTGAGGCATGTATTTGCTGAGTTTTGGTTCATTTTTGTGAAGTGCGCCTGTTCAAAATGAGACTGCAGAAAGCGCATCATGTTTGTTTTCTTTATTTATCTATGATTTTATGAAAGCACAAAGTTTTGTTGATATTGTGAGTGCACACAAATAAAAGTAGACCATTTACAGTTACGAATGATGTATTACTCTTACCTTTATGAGTAAAAATGAGACGTATCCACTTAAAAAAATGCAAGTGATCGCGCTGGCGCCTCCATGTCCTGCAAAGCGCGCTTCAGCTTCCACTCTCCGCAAACTATTAGATATAGTGCACATTTATCTAGGTTTAACGTTTAAACATTGTTATATGCCATGATTTGAGAAGGCTAAATTGATCAAACATAGGCTCACTGTCTGCCGCTGGCCGCTTGGTCGTTACTTTAAAAACAAAAACTTATATTCAACGAACAAAAAATGCTCCAAACGTTTTTCAAAATTAATGTAATAAAAAAACAAAACAAAATATAATCACTTTGCCATTACATACAAAACTGAAATATTTTAATAGCTGAAACAGTAGTATACTGTAGGCTGTTTTGGGAGAAGCTGTCAGACACGGGCCGGGCTAGGGCCTGAGCATCTCAAAAACCCTAGTCTGAAAAAGTTTGGATATTTGTCCTTCCGTAGCCTACTTCATCTTTAACTTTCTCAAGAGTGATCGCACATTTCACAAGATCCATTTCAGCTGTCACAAGCTGAGGGTGAAGCTTATGCCGAGTTCACACTGCACGATTTTAGCCCGATTTTTCACTCGCCGACAGGTTTTGTGAAATCGCCGACAAATGCCCGACATCGGAGGCAAATCGGTGCTCGTTCACGCGAGTGACAATCACACAGTGTGAATTATCAAAGACGCGATCTGAGAGAATCGCAGACACGTCGCCGACGTCCGCAAAATATTTGGCATGCTATATATCTGTAGCTGTCGGCGATTCACAATCACGCTGTGTGAAATGAGTTCTGACTGAAAACTACATCGGCGATGACCTACAGCCAATGAGAGACCAAGATACAGGGCCGAGGGAAGTTCGGGGAGGAGTTATAGACCAGAATATCAGTATTTTACAGAGGTGGGACTTTCAAGTCACAAGCAAGTATTCAAGTCAAATCCCAAGTCCTCAAAGAGTTAAAGTTAATGAGATAATTAAGTGACTAATTAAATGATGATTGTGAATTAGTGATGAACAGCTGCTGTTAACAATCAAATCATTGAAGAAAAGAGAAACACAAGAACTACATCTGACTTCAGCCACAGCCTTAGATGAAGTCAACTGACTGTCGCCGATCCATCGTGCAGTGTGACCACAGCAGCAACTGAATGCTACCCCAGATAGTCACAACGGCGATCCGACGAGTTTGAACATCGTGCAGTGTGAACTCGGCATTACCCAGTCAACACGTAAGATCATGCGATGATCACAGTGACATCACATCATTCTCATAGTGTGATACTCACAGTGTGAGTAATATGCAGAGGTGGGACTTTCAAGTCACAAGCAAGTCTTCAAGTCATATCAAGAGTCCTCAAAGAGTTGAAATTACTGAGATAATTAAGTGACTAATTAAATGATGATGTGCATTAGTGATGAAAACCGGCTCAACTTTCTGCCTATAACTCATGACGAATGAACATCATAAAGTGGTCTCTCTTTGGTTTATTGACTGGCATTCAGCTATTACTGAACTGTGAAAAAAGAAAAAAAAAGTCCCACTAAACAAACGCCACCATAGTGCTTCGATATTAAAAATAAAAATAAATCTGTATCAGCTCAGGCTT